ACAGAAATCTGGAAGTGTAAGGGTATACATGTACTAGAAGATTGTATTTGGGTATTATTACAATAATATGAAAATAATTTTTGTAAGTCCAAAACCGCTTAGGTGCAATAAATAAAACACTTCACCAGTAGTGTTTGATAGATATGAATCCAGATATGAATATGGGTCAGTGATCAGTTATAGGTTATGTATTATTGCATTCATCTCTTCTGCTGTAGGTCTACCGGTCTTGCTCATAGGGTTTAGCCTGTGTTAACCTAAATGGGATCAAACAGATTTAAAGGGCTGGGTGAGTGCAGTGACGCAGGGCTTTGTGTCCGCTGATGAATCCTGATCGACAGCTGCTCCACTCTGACACGAGCTGAAGACTCGCCTCAGTCTACCACAGACGGCCCTCGGTCATTTAAGGTTATGAAGTTTGGACGTGGCACTTGGTGGTGTTTTGAAAATGAGTGCTCAGTAACAGTGTTGGGGGTAACGCATTACAAGTAACGCGAGTTACGTAATCAGATTACTTTTTTCAAGTAACTAGTAAAGTAACGCACTACTTTTTAATTTACAAGAGAATATCCGAGTTACTTTTTCAAATAAGCAACGCAAGTTACTTTTTTTCCAATTTGTTGATCGACAGCTCTGGTGTCGCCATGTTGAGAGAAATCAGAAGATGTTACTGTAGATCTAAAATAAATATGAATGTGCATTAATTCATCTCACTCACAAAAAACAAAACAAAACACAGATTCAGTATTCCTCAAAATAAATACAAATGAATAAATGAATAAAAATAATGCAACTCAGAATGACGCAAACCTGCAATATCCTTTATGTATTTAATCCCATTCTATTTGCTTCTGACCTTCGATGATCCAGTTCACCTCCAGATCTACTGTACGGACGTAAATGTACATTTCCTTCAGCCTGAGGCTTATTCATTTCACTTTTGGTGTGAAAAGGCTTTTATATTTGCCAAAAATAGAACTTTTTTATTTTAAAAACAAACAAGCAAGCCCTGTCCAGATTTAAGAAGTAACGCAAAAGTAACGTAACGCATTACTTTCCATAAAAAGTAACGAAGTAACGTAATTAGTTACTTTTTTATGGAGAACGCAATATTGTAATGCATTACTTTTAAAAGTAACTTTCCCCAACACTGCTCCGTAAACATTACAGTGATGTCCTGAGACATACTTTTTAAAATAACGTTTTTTTTTTTTAATTGGCATTTTTGGTTCTGTGAAGAACCGTAAACATCCTTGGGAACTTTCCATGGCAAAAAAAGGTACTTTATAGTGGAAAAAGTTTCTTTTAGAAAACTAGAAACGTGAGATAATGTGCTTGTTAATGTTTGCTAATTAACGTATTAAACATTACCTAATGATTAACAGATCATTATTTTATGTAAATGAAAATGCTTGCAAATGTCATGTCAACTTTCAATTGATATGATCATGCTCTTCTTGAAAATCTACAAATGATTTTAGCAGATGTTATGCAATGAGTAAAAGCTTTTGTTAATGCACAACACTTGTGCTGCTGTTGAGGTGTGATACGGGTAAGGTTAGGCATGGGTTTAAGGGCTGGTTAAAGGTACTGCATGATTAGTAAACATGTATATACACTCTAAAAAATGCTGGGTTAAATACAACCCAGTGC